CTCCCAGTCCTTTCCTTTAAATAGTCAAGGTGACAGATCTATATGTTGGGTTGTTGCTCCTGGTGTGTTCCTTTTGTTTTTGAACAGGAGGAGGTAGGAGAAAAGATTCTAGAAATACATTTGGCAGAAGGCCCACATGAGCCAACACTCCTCCCTCCCCTTATCTTTCAGTTTTATTTTCAAATTTCATGAGATATAAACAAACCACAGCAAGACCCAATCCCAGCCCCCTGCTACACTGCCCCTGTGCAGCCCAAGGACTAGATCCAAACTGGGATTCAGGTGCCACAGCACTGAGCACTGCGACACCCACGTTCTGCCCCAGCAGGTGGGGGTTAGGTACCCGGGGTGCAGAGGAGAGGCAGGTCTCTAAGAATGGGATCCTAAACTTGCAGCACACTGAGCATGGAGCTGCCAATGGGAAAGGTGAGGACAGGGGTCTATGTGAAATCCCACTCCTCAACAGGTCTTTGTCATCTTCCTCTGGAATACAGGGAGGCACGTGGCTCCATCTGTCAAACCCTCTTCAGGAGGCAGCTGTCAATGCTTCCTATGCCTGTTCTTTCAAAACCGGAGGAGAGGTCACTCTTTAAATCACAGGGCAATGGAATGACGCTTCCCTTTTAGATACTAGCCTAGTGGTAAGAGTATTCATCTAGGCTGCGGAGGACCTGGTTTCAGTTCCCTTTCTACTTAGATTCATAGATTCATAGAAGTAGGGTCAGAAGGGACCTTGTAGATCTTCAAGTCCGAGCCCCTGCCCTGGGCAGGAGCAAAAACTGGGCTCAAATGACCCCAGCCAGGTAGGTGTCTAGCCTCCTCTTAAAGACCCCCAGGGTAGGAGCCAGCACCACTTTGCTTGGAAGATCCTAGCTGCCCTGACTGTGAAGTAGTGCCTTCAGCTGTCTAGTCTAAACCTGCTCTCTAACAACTTGTGGCCATTATTCCTTGTTACCCCGGGGGGTACTAGGGGGAACAGGGTCTCTCCCAAACCCTGCTGGTCCCCCCTAGTGAGTTTATAGATGGCCACCGGGTCCCCCCTCAGCCTTCAGGTCCTGTAGCCTCTCCTCGTAGGGCCTGCCCTGCTGTCCCTGGATCATGCAGGTGGCCCTTCTTTGGACCCTCTCCATGTTGTCCACATCCCTCCTGAACTGCAGCACCCAGAACTGAACACAGTATTCCAGCTGTGGCCTGACCAGTATCACACAGAGGGGGAGGATCACCTCCTTGGCCCTGCTTGAGATGCATCTGTGGATGCACGACAAGGTGCGGTCAGCCCTACTGACCGTGACCTCGCATTGTCGGCCCATGTTCATCTTGGAGTCAATAATGACTCCAAGATCTCTTTCTGCCACCATGCCCTCAAGAAGGGAGTTTTCCAGATTATAAATGTGCTGCTGTTTCCTACTGCCCAAGTGCAGCACCCTGCACTTGTCAGTATTGAAACACATCCTATTTTTGTTAGCTCACCCTTGTAACCTGTCCAGGTCCTGCTGTAATCTGTCCTTCCCTACTAGTGTGCCCACCTCACCCTAAATCTTGGTATCATCAGCAAATTTAAGCAGGCTGCTTTTCACCCCGTCATCCAAGTCACTAATAGAGAAATTGAACAGTGCAAGCCTGAGGACCAAGCCCTGGGGGACCCCACTGCCCACTTCCCTCCAGGTTGAAAAAGACCCATCTACCACTACCCTCCGAGTACAACCCTTCAGCTAATTTGCAATCCATCTGACTGTGTAGGCATTAATGCCACAGTCACCTAGTTTTTTAATGAGAATGGGGTGGGAGACAGTATCAAAGGCCTTGCTGAAGTCCAGACTTGGTGGGGATTCACCCAGGAGCCATGAGGCTATGGGCTGTGTGGGGCTGGGGGAAGCACTTTCTAGTCAGCTGGTTCACACTTTTCCATTGTACAAGAAAAAAAAGAAGAGAGTGGTTGAGCCAGAGTGAGCAAGACACAACCTGGCTCTCTAGCCTGGTGCTTAAGTCACTCACAGCACAAAGGATCTGAAATCACGGCCCTCCACAGCTCTTAGTCACGTTACTCTGGGCTGCAAGGAGGAAGCTGGAAGTCTTTTCTGAACATTGGAGCAACTTTGACAGGACACTGTAGAGAGCCGGTCCCCACACAGCGTACCCTGTAACAGTAACACTGTGTTTGTGGCTCCTGAGTTACCTGTGGCTCTTCAACTTTCCACCTGCAGCTGTTGACAGAAAACATCATCAAAGTTCTCCCTGCCTCCCAATCCATGTACTGGGCAAAGGACATCCACACTAATGCCACTATGTACGTGATGCACTGCAGGTTTTTTCTTTTGAACTTGGGTGTGTTCCCTCACTTCCTCCTGAGGCGAATTAGTTGCAGCTCTGTGGCTCCTGAGCTAGTCAGGACCGATGTCATTGGACTATCACATGGTGAGTAGGAAGCCGTCCAGGAAGGTGGGAGATACAACCACGAGATCTCTCAGGCAGAAGCAGGGCCCCCCACCCACTAACTTCCAGAGTCACTGTTAATCTTTCCTCTTCAAAAAAGCTATGCCCAAACAGAGCCACGGAGGAGGGAAGTCAGGCTATGTAAGCACACTAATCTACCACAGCCTTTGTCTGCTTCCTATTAGACACTTGTCAGTAACTACAAGCTCTGAACTTCAGCAGCTTTCATTACAGGCTGAGTGCAAACATCTTTCAAAATCTCTGTTATCTGAGCATTCTTGTCGGCATTTGCATCATGCCTATCACCGGAGCATCTAAATGCCACTCTGGTGGATCAGGTATCTTTTTTTTTTTTTAAACTTGTAAATTTTTTATTAGGGAACTACTAATCTCTAAATATTTAAAGATTTGTTTGTTTCTGACACATTGAATTCATTGACTATTAATATGAAACCTCCCACAAAGATGCCAAAGAAGCTACAGATGTAGCACCTCCAGCTGTGATTTCATCACATCTCAGAAACCAAGGCCTCAATCCTGCAAACACTTATGCAGACACTTATCTTGACCATTGTGACTAACCCAGTGGGGACCACAAGCAATAGCAATGAGTCTGACTGCAGCAAGAAAGCAAATTACATTTGTGTCCCAAGGATCAGCTCGTCCTAGTTTGGATTGGGTTTGTATTTGGATGGAAGAATGTTTAGTTAGCCAAGAGCTACAAAAAGAAAGATGAAATTAGAGGAAGATATTGGTAGGTCCTTATTTGGTCCTTCTTCCTCTGACTAAACTCAGTGCGGAACCTGTGCAGGAGGATGATCTTTTGCTCAAAGACAAGGTTTGGGAGTCAGGTGAAATGGGTTAGTTTACAGATGCACCACAGACTTCCTCTTTGACTCTTGACAAGCCACTCAAGTTCTCTGTGCCTTTTCTTCCCCAGTAGTAAATAGTAAACTAAGGGGTAATAACATATACCTGTGCTACAAGAATCTTGGGACAATCCATTTAATTAAACTCCTAAACTGTTTTTAGATCTTGCCATGGAAGTCTAAAGAATGGAAAGGTCTTGTTATTCACATTCATTTATTATTAATGAACCAATGCCACGGATAAGATATAAAACCAAAATGTACACCCATTAAATGCCCAATGGTATTTTTCGTAATTAATCCCAATGTTCAAGTCAAACTCCATATTGGTTGAGTACATGCTGCCTCCCTAAATTAATTTGTTCATTAATTATAAAAGAAACCCAGAATCAGTATCCTACTGCATTAAGGAGTTAACTTAAAAGGAGTCCAGAAAAGGACATTTTTTTCCCCACAAGAATTTAAAAAGATCTTCACTTGTTGTGAATCTGGATTAGAATCGTTTTCCTTTTAATTAATTCAATGCTTTGTTTGTTTGTGGTCTTTGTCTGAACCATTTAATTTGCTTCTACTAGTTCATGCCTGCCTTCCTCTCAAAACTAAACGGTGCTTTTCCATTGTTTCTTCTATGGAAGACTCCCCAAACTATTAATCTTATTTCCTGTCTTCAAACCACTTCTACTTACTTTTTCAAATGAAGTATCTGGATCTGGACACAATGCTGATGATGATGGCGCACCGTTAATTTGAACGTTTCCTGTATTATTCTTTATCCTTTTCTCACTGCAGCCTACATCTTGTTTGCCTAACTGCTGCTAAACACAGAATAGGTGTTTTCACCAAGCTGGTAACGGTGATGCATAGGTCTTTTATTTTTTTCCTGAGCAGCTGCAGTTAATTTTGTACTCGGCGACGTGTATAGTCAAATTGTTGCTTCCTGCGCGTCCTTGCCTACACTGAAGCACTTCTGTCAACGTGTTGCCCAATCCCCTGGCTGGTTGAGGGCTTTTGGAGTTTGCACAATGCTCGCAGGCCCTTTGGCGTGACCTGCAGATTTCGCCCCGACACGGGCTGCTCAGGGTCCTCAGTGACCCTCCGCACACGAGGACGGAGGCAGCTCGCGCACATGGGAACGAACCTGACGTTTTCATTCACGCTGCGGGGGAGGAGCAGGACTCGGGCGGTTTACACCAGCACTGGGGCAGTCCCAGAGTAGGGGCAAGCAGAACCAGGCTTATCCTTCCCTCCAGAGCCAGACGGTGAGCCCTGACCGGGTTGTCCCTCACACGGCGCGGCTGTCCCGCCAAGCTGGCCTGGGCACCTGCCAAGGGCGTCTGGGTCTGTCCCTTCCCTGGTCTCCTCTAGTGCTGCGCTTTGTTATGCAGCATTTCACAACCACCAGTGCTGGCCTGGGGCTGGTTGGGGTAGAGGTCTGAGCAGGAGGGACCCTGGCCCTTAGGGGTCACTCCCCCCAGGCTCTGCAATAGGCCTTCCTATGGCCCTGGGGAAAAAGGTCGCGGGGGGAGGGGGGAAGACCCAGGGGACATGCGCACAAGGGCGCCAGGCCCCGCTGCTTGACAGAGCACCGACGCGCCACATCCCGGGCCAGTCCTCCAGAGCAGTAGAGCGTCTCAGCGAGATAGAGCGGGCAGCTGTTTGGGCCGCACTAGCCGACGCCTTCCCGTCTCTGTGGCGGCTGGTTCCGGTGCCGCGCAGCATGGTGGGAGTGGGAAGGCCAGGAGATGGGATGGTGGGTGAGGAGGCGGACGAGGCCGAGGTCCTCGACTGCTTCCGCGCCTACTCGGAGAACGAGAAGCACTGGCAGGCCCGGCGCGCCTTCCTACTGCGCCACCTGCCTGCCGACGGCATGCCCGCCGCTTCGCGGCTCGACCAGCTCCTCGCGCTCTCCATGGTCTGGGCCAACCACGTCTTCCTGGGCTGCAGGTGCGGCGCCGCCCCCTGCAGGTGTGCCCCATAAGGGGCGGCCCCGCCCCTCCCTGCCCCCTGCAGTTGTGGCCCCCTCAGGTGTGGCCCCGCCCCTCCCTGCCCCCTGCAGGTGTGCCCCCCTCAGGTGTGGCCCCGCCCCCTCCCCACCTGCAGGTGCAGTGCAAGGCCCCACGCAACTGGCCGCTTCTCACGGGCTCCTTCTTTTCCTGGTGCAGCTACAGCCGGGACCTCCTGGACAAGGTGACGGACATGGCTGAGGGGATCACGGTGGAAGACGCCCCCCGGTTCACCACCAGGGACGAGCTGATGAGGAAGGTAAGGGTGGGGCTGGGACCCCTGGCTCGGGGGCATGCACTGTGGGGCACACAGCCCTTAAAGAGCATTGCTGCCTGGTCTGAAAAGCACAGCTCTCTCCTTCTTGCACAGCGTGGTTGTGCTGTGTTAGAGATCAGGCAGCACTTGGGTTACAGGATTTGTTTCTGAGTCTTAGCTGCTCACCTTCCTCCGTGCCAACTCCCTTTGCCTTCAGGGATTGCTCATCTGTTTGTGGTTCAGTACCATTGCAGGATGAGAGCCTCACTCTCTCTGAATGGGGTGCAGGCGAGGTGAAAGGCTGGTAAATCACCTTCCCAACCAGGTTGCCTTAAGGTGTTGTTGCAATTGGGTAACTAAGGTCAAAAACAAACCTAAAGACCTTGCACTGTAGAGATGTGATGCCAAGTCTGAAGTCATGCTTTCTGAAGTGTTTGAACTTGCTGCTATCAAAGTGTGGCTCAGGTTTTGTTTGGCTTTGCTTTGTTTCATGTTTTTAATGATCAGTGTAGCTATTTAAGTGTTAAGTTGTGGTTTTCTTTGTTCTTCCTGACAAAAAGAAAAATCATGTTAACACAGTGCCTAATAGGAAAAGTGACTAAAATCTCTGCTCTTTTAGTTGAACTTTTGAAGGTCTTAAGTAGATATACTGCTGTCCTTCATGTCTACTTGGGAATTGCATTTTGGGGGTGGAGGGAGTACAGGTAAGTTAAACTTCTCTGAAATGACTTTGGCTTGCCAAACTGAAAACATCTGGCTTTGTGTCTCAAATTTGATTTTGAGCTTTAGGTAACTGAACTGTAATTTAAAATTTGGATCTAGGTGAGGTAGATGATTTGGATCCATTTGCTTGCAGAATCAATTGAAATGCCAAGACCACACAATCTATGTGTGAGAGTTTTTTCACCCCTCTTATTTACTGAGGATAAAATAAAGCCACATCTTGAGCGCTTACTGTACTGCAAATTATGCTAGGAAACGATGGAGTTAATTGCTTATAATCTTTGTAGTGTTTCACGTTAAGGAAATCCTTTACTACTACTGTAGGTCAAAATCAAAGCGAGTTCTTCACACATTGTTTAAAAGTTGTCTAATCCAGCATCTAAATTTATATTTGGTGCCAAGAAAAACTGACTTTTTTCATTCTCTTTCTATTGGCAGTCACACTTCTACAGTCTGCATGTTGAATTCAGAAATCTGTCAGGTTCACAATTACATTTCTTACCACTACGGCCTAGCTGGAGTATTGCTTCATAAATGTAAATGAAGAAAATAGGATAAACATTCTGAGTGATTTTTCTGGTGGCTATTTTAGTACTAAGGTTTTACTTTTAAGTGTTTAAGTTGCATCTACTGACAACAATCAAGTATGTCTCCTGAATAGCCAGAAGTAGGCTCTAGCTATCAAAAGAGAATTAGCAGTATTGTACAAATTTTTCTGTTGCAGGGTACCACGTGCTCATTTAATCTTTCTTCATGGTGTCTCAGTGAAGTAAAATTCTGAGGATCATTTGCTTCGCTGCCAACGAGCACTTCTGTGTTGCAAGCACTTAACTTGTTTTCATTGTTTCTCTTCATTTTTAGCATCAACGTTAGTGCATGGGAGCAGAAGTTTCAAATTTCCGTCAAGACACAGGATCGGTTTAAAGGAGGATCCAGTTTTAACTGAACATACTGTTTCTAAAAGGACTCTCAATATGATGGACATTCGAGAAAGGACTGCTTCTTATTTTTTGTCTTTTTTTAAACTCCCAAACCAGCTTATGGTAGATGTCCATGATCAAAACTTTTAAAACTGAGAAAATTGGGTTTTTAAACAGGTTTACAATCTCAGATTTGGAGATCAAAGAAAACAGTATGCAGGGATCTATTTTTTCCTTTCACATAAACACATGGATCTATACAAACTCCCAGAAAAGGCCCATGCATGTGAGATGGGAAGCTGTGGCATGTCCTCTGTCTTTTGGCTACAAGTCTGTGAGATGCCTAGCAAGTCTGATTTAGGTTGATCGGTCCTGGGGAGTATTTACTCTCATAGCACACATCCCCAACCAGACAAATGGAGGTCTCACTCTTCACCCTCTTTGAGAGAAGTTTTAATATTGTTTAGAGCATTGACTAACACTGCTTCTACGCTGTCTTAATTCTGTGTGGTGGGGGAGGGCATGTTGTACAACAAGGTTGCTACAACACTGCTGCTTTTCTTCTACAGGCACCTAATACCCATTTCTCAACTAGTATGCCTGCACCACTACTGTATTCTCCTGGTTTTGTTCCAGTGCCTCTTAAGTCACTAGAATGGTATTTAGATTACTGTGTAATTTAATCAATGTGATTTTTTTTTTCTTTAAAGCAATGAAATTGCTATTCTTTATGAAAAAGAGAATTCCTTGTCTTGCACTCTTATTCTGTCAGGTCTGATCCACAGCCCACTGAAACCCAAGGTTCCAAAGTGTTTCTACTAGTAAATTTGTAGATATTTTATAAACATTTTATAAAATTACTATGATTTTTATACCTTTCAATCTCCATTTCTGTCAAACATCCAGAGAAATTATGAAAATCTTGTTTAAATAGAGCATCACATAGCTTAAATTCCAGGCAGATATTCAGATGAGTTAACCAAAACCCCTGCTGCCACCAATAAACTTTCTGGAAAGTCCTATCTAATCACCTCTAAATTACAATAATTATTTCATAGGTTAGGTTTCTGGGTACTGTGGAACTAAATGGTAATTCTGGAACAGATTTAATGAGTTCCGTTGTACAGCTGACTGGAAATTCCTCGTCATTGCTATTCAAACTTAAAACTATGTATTTTATTGAATGAAATATAAAAATGAAGAATGCAGTCAGTACAATGACCCATATGGTGTTCGGTATCAAAGTCCAATTATTTTATCAGTGTAACTAGCAGGCTGTTTTCAGTGTACCACAATACTAATAATGAACTGCATCACAGAAACAGTGGGAAGCTGGTGGTCTTGTCTGTGTGT